CGAAAATTATTAATTTCTTGGCTGCTTGTAAGTAAAAGAGTGTTTAAAAGGGAAAGTTGAATCTGTTTCAGAAGTCACTGAGGAGCCTGTTCGAGAGTTGACTACAGAAGAGCATTTGATTGAGAGGAAGAAGAAACTGCAGGAAAAGAAAATGCACATTGCAACCTTGGCGTCTGCCATATTGTCAGACCCAGAAAGTAATGTAGGTAGTATTTATTTCTTTAGGCTCTTCGTATGAGATATCCTATAAATGTGTTACATATTAAGATTCTCTTATTGCCTGCTAAAATGCACAAAGAGGACATAATGGAGCTGACAGTAGAGAGAATCTTAGCTTAATTGTCCATCTGAACTTAATTTTTCTTGTAATCTTAGAAAAGTCATACTTTCTGAGTCAAACTTATTTCCTTATTTCCATGTGAAGATTTTAGGTTACTTTGGTAACTAGAAGTAGTAAGTATATAAACATTAAATGTATTAGGGAGGAGGAACCTACTTGCAGGTTTGGTGATCTAGAGTTTTTAATAAGGAATATGCTATGCAAAAGTCAGTGGAATTTAGGAGTGTGTGTGTGTATATGTACTTTTTTATTTAATTTTTTTTATTTTAGGGCCGGCCAAATAGCTCAGCTGATTAAAGTGCCTGCAAGTGGGTGCAGGGGCTGGGGGTTCGATCCCCGGGCCTGCCATGCCGGCCCCGCTTCCGGGGTGTGCTGAGACAGCAATTGAGACTGGGTGTGGTGGTGTACACCTGTAATCCCAGCTCTTGGGAGGCTGCAAACAGGTGGATCACTACAAGTCCGATCTAGTGGTGAGACCCTGAACATCCTGTAGACCCTTCCTTAAAATACAGGAAAAAAATTGTATTTTATGATAGTATCTCACTATTTTAGGCTGGCCTTGAACTCACTGTGTAGCCCAGGTTAGCCTCAAACTCAGCAATCCTCAAGCCTCAGCTTCCCAAGTGCTGCAGTTACAGTTGTATGCCACCATGCCCAGCTATCAGGGATATTTCTAAGGGGAAAATACTTTAAGTGAAACAGGACCAGACTTACGGTGGATTATTACTAGGTGTTACATACAGTGTAGCAGCAGAAGTGGTGAGAGAACATTTGAATTCCGGAAACCTGAGGTTTAGTGTTGGCTGTGCTCAGTACTGTTTGTGAGCCTTGTGTAAGTTGTTTTACCCAAGACTTAATTTCTTCATCTCTGAATAAGGGGGTAGTATCCATTGTAAAGTTTTGTTGTGATTACATGAGAAATTATAATGTCATCGAAAGTGGCATTATTATTACTGGTGTCTCCAGCAACCTACTAGGACAAGTATTTGTTATTGGATGATAAAATAGATAATTCACACATACAGGAAAAATTTCATATGTTGTGGGTTGGAGTAGTACTATTGTTTTGTTTTGTTTTTTTTGTCCTGTAAAGAGGAAAATCTGGAACAGAATTAGGGGGAATTTGAGTATTTTTTACATGGGTAGTCGTATTTAATTATGAAACTAGAGACACATTCTATTGATTTCATTTTGCAATTAAAATTTTACAATTTAAAACACTTACTTGATTTTTCCCAGAATTGAACAACCAGTAGATTAGAATCTAGGCCTTCAAGTAGTTTGGAGCCTTATGCTCATTTCATACAATTTAGGGTTAGCAGATATGTGGTGGTCACACTCCTTGGTACAGTAAACAACCAGAATATTGCTTTCCGAGTTACCTTCCCAGTGGGGTGTGGTAGTGTGTCCCTGTAAGTCTAGCTACTTGGCCATCTGAGGCAGGAAGACTGCAAGCTCAAAGCCAGCCAGAACGACTTAATGAGACCATAATAAAAGAAAAAGTAGAACTGGAATATAGCTCAGTTGTAGAGGGCCTGTGTAGCATGTATAAGATTCATCTTTAGTACTACAAAAAAAAAAAAAAAAAAAAAAAGAAAAGAAAATGAAAAACCCCAAAAACCCCCACAAAACCCCAAAATACTCTAGCAGGAAGTAGTAATTCATCAAAACAAGCACATTAGCTGAAAACCTTTTTTTTTTTGTATTTTTGTATTGTATCCTGTTTGTCTCTTGTTAAAATTGATGTGACTAACTGTATTTAATTTTTGGTTAAGTTGTTTGTGTGGTTAATATATTTGATTGGTACGTAAGACATAAGAGTTTAGGAAAATAAAACATGGGGCCAGGGAGATGGCTCAGTGGAATAAGTGCTTCCCTGGCAAGCACAAGGGCCTGAGTTCAATTCCCAGTTCCGCCAAAAAAAAGAAAAAAAAAAAAGAAAAGAAAGCGTGTTTTAAAGAAACTCAGTGTGCCGGGCATGGTGGTGCACCCCTGTAATCCCAGCACTCGGGAGGCTGAGGCGGGAAGATTGATGTGAGTTCGAGACCAGCCTAGACTCATACTGAGCTCAAAGCCAGCCTGAACTGCGTAGCAAGACCCTGTCTCAAAAAGACAAAAAAGAAAGAAAGCTCAATATAAAAGAATTTCTAAAATTAGGTACGCTAACAAAGTTAAACTTTTTATTTTTATTTTTATTTTTTAAAGTTTTATTTATTTATTTATTTATTTTGTGTGTGGCCAGTTCAGCCCACCAGGGGGCGGGGCTGGCTGGCATGTGGTGCTGGGGGATTGAACCGCGGTCCCTGTGCTTTGCCTGGCTTAGCTTGTTCCAAGTAGGTGCATTAGACCACTGAGCCATCTCACCAGCCCCCAAAGTTAAACTTTTTAATTAGCCCTTCATCTTTTTGAGAGATGAGACTGTGTCTCATTCAGAATTGTTTTGCCATGATTTCTGTACTATTTCTTTTTGGGGGGGCGCTCAGGATGCCTTCAGGTCAGGTCTGGTTTGGCTTGAGGATGAGGGGATCAAACCACAGCATCCTGAGCCTGACTGCTTTGTTTCAGCAGGCACTTTAACACCTGAGCTAATGGGCAGGCCCCCTTGTATTATTTCTTTTTTTTTTTTTTTTTTGCGGAACCAGGGATTGAACTCAGACCCTTGTGCTTACCAGGCAAGCACTTATTCTACTGAGCCATCTCCCCGGCCCCTGTATTATTTCTTTAACAGATTAAAAAACTAAAAGAGTTACGTTCCTTGCTGATGGAACAAGATCCTGATGTGGCTGTCACTGTTCGAAAGTTGGTGATGATCTCTCTGATGGAGCTGTTTAAGGACATTACTCCTTCATATAAAATCCGGCCCCTGACAGAAGCAGAAAAATCTACTAAGGTAACGTAAGGTATAATTACTGTATACTGCATGGGGTAGTGCGTGCGTGCTTGTAATTGTAGAAGGAGCATTGCAGGCTCAGGGCTGGTGGGGGCAGCTTCATGAGAACATGTCTCAAAACAAGTCTGAGGATATAGCTGAGTACTCCTTAGGCTCACTTCCCAAGACTATAAGGAAAGAAAAAATTTAAGAATTTTGGAAATGATAGATGGGAAAAATGGCATTTCTCTTTTTAAAATCCTCCCTCTTTTCTGCCCCAGCCCTGGGCATATATGAGCCACTCATATTTTGGGCTAATTTTTAATTTTAATATTCTGATTTTTAAAATGATCTTTTTGATCTTTTCAGATCCGCAAAGAAACCCAAAAATTAAGAGAATTTGAAGAAGGGCTGGTTAGCCAATACAAATTTTATCTGGAAAATTTGGAGCAAATGGTAAAAGGTATATTAAATATATGTTACAAATATGTAACACGGGTGCCAGGGATTTAGCTCAGTGGCATAGCACTTGCCTGGCAAATGTGAGGTCCTGATTTCAGTTCCTGGTACACCCGCAAAAAACCAAAAATGTAACGTACTTAAGTGTTGATTATGAAATAAATTTACTCTGTGCTGTGTAGTGACAGGCAGGTGTATGGTGAGACTTGAGTGAGACTTCCTGAGTTGTGTGGCTTTAACATTTACCAGCTGTGTAATGGGTGACTTACCTTTAATCTTTCTGTGCCTCAGTTTTCTTCTCTATAAAATGTGAATAATAAGAACAGTACTTGCCTCACAAGATTGTTATGGAAATTGACTTTTTAGACCATTCAAATGGTGGCTCGCATTTCTAGGTGCTATAGGTTATTTGCGATCAGTGTTAACATTGTTGCTCTAGTACTTTATCTTTTTTTTTTTTTTTTTGGTGGAACCTGGGATTGAACTCAGATCCTTGTGCTTGCCAGGGAAGCACTTATTCCACTGAGCCATCTCCCCAGCCCCTGTTGCTCTAGTACTTTAGTAAGTAGTTGTATTTTTTTAAATTTATGAATGCGTGGGATTTAATCTGCTTTTTTAAAATTTGGAAATGGTAGTCAAAGGAGAAAAATATTGGGGCCGGGGAGATAGCTCAGTGGAATAAGTGCTTGCCTGGCAAGCGTAGGGTCCTGAGATTGATCCCTGGTCCCACCAAAAAAAAAAGGAGAAAAATACTTTTGATATGGATGTGACTCCTGAGAAATGGACTTAATCAGTTATTGAATAGGGTGAACTCTGCACTTAATCATTTATTCAGTAGGATAAACTCTTTCTTTTAAACCTTTCTATTTGTTCAGCCAAAAAAAGGGCTTAGGAAAAATTGGAGTATGAGCGGAGAAAAGGTTTAGTCCCTGAAGGCAGGTGCTTTCATTTGGCCCATCTGGGCTCCTTCACTTGGCCTTGGGCCTAAGGATCCCAATTTGCTGTCAGCTGGAGCAGGACTCCTGCATCCTGTTGGCCTGATGAGGGTATGAGAGTGATGGGGGCAGTGGGGTGGTGTGTACTGTGCATGTGGCTTTGGTATTTTGGTGTCCCAACTGGAGTCTACTTAACTAGCATTTGTTCTTTCAAGGGTGTGGCCTGGGAGCTTGTATAGATCAGCACTGTCCAGTGAACATATAAGATGAACTACGCATGTCATTTTTAAGAGATGAGGTCATGCTTAAAAAAAGTTAAAAAGTCATGAAATTATTTTTAATAGTAAATTATATACGTACCTAAATTATCATTTCAGCTTATAATCTATTTCAAAAAGTAGTGCAGGGCCAGCGAGATAGCTCAGTAGTCTAAAGTGCTTGCTTAGGGAAGCTTAGGTGGGCACAGGGACTGTGGTTTGATCCCTGGCACCACGTGTCATGCCAGTCCTGCCCCTACGGTGGGCGAGCTGGCCACAAAAAAAAGTAGTGCAATGTTTTAATTTTATTTGGTCCTAATTTAAAAATCCAGTGTCTACACATAAGCATATATGAACATTTCACACGTTTAGTAGCCTCTGAAAACGCACATGTAAAGATTTTCCAAGCAAATCAGACTGCTCTGAAATCTGTTTTTTCCTTTTGTCTTTTTTTCTCCTAGTATTTTAAATTGTCAAGTACGTATTTGGTATAAGAGAAAGCTGGTTAGCTTAGATATTGGCCAATGATTAATTACGTTTATCTTTTAATTAGACTGGAAGCAAAGAAAGCTGAAGAAAAGCAATGTCGTTTCCTTAAAGGCATACAAAGGACTGGCTGAAGTGGCTGTGAAGAGCCTGTGTGAGCTGCTGGTGGCTTTGCCTCATTTTAATTTTCACAACAACATCATCGTATTGATTGTCCCTCTCATGAATGATGTGTCAAAATCAGTAGGTTGCGTCAAATGATCACTGTTATGCTTAATAGGAATTTATAAGGCATGGGATTCCTGCCTCCCCCCATTCTTTTGGAATTTCTATTTATTGATAAAATAGATCTATTTATTAAACACTTTATCAAAACTACTTGAGTGTAGGTTGGTAGAGTATTTCTAGACAAGGGAAAATTTTGCCTTCTTGGAATGGTAGGCAGTGTCTGCAGGAAGTTTAATGGTCATGATGGTGGTGCTGCTGGTGCTGGTGCTGGTGCTGGTGGTGGGTGTCTGGAGTACAGGCAGGGAAGCATTTTAACCTGTTACAATGAAGTATCTGGCCTCCAGTGTGAGTAGGACCAAGGTTGAGGAACACTGGTTTGGTGTGACGTTTTCTTTTTTTAGGTATCTGAAATGTGTTGTGAGGCAGTAAAGAAACTCTTCAAACAAGATAAATTAGGCCAAGCTTCTCTTGGTGTAATTAAAGTGATTTCTGGCTTTGTGAAGGGCAGAAATTATGAAGTTAGGCCAGAGGTAAGTAAGCCTTTCTTTTCTTATGTTGCACTTTATATGCTTTCAAATTGTGTTATTTTTCAGTTGTCTTGAGGAATTTAAATGTAAAGCACTGTTAACTGTTTTGTCTGTATATCCTTACAGATGTTTTTCTGTGCAGACTCATGTTCACTTATATTTTAAAATCAAAGATGGACCTGGGGGCCGGGGAGATGGCTCAGTGGAATAAGTGCTTCCCTGGCAAGCGTAAGGGCCTGAGTTCGATCCCTGGTTCCGCAAAAAAAAAAAAAAAAAGATGGACCTGTACTATGAAAACTGTTTTGGAGCAGTTTTCATTTCATATATTGTAAATTTATATTCTAGGTAGGACTGTTGCACTCTTTGTAGTATGTGCCATAATCATATGAATATATGGTATCCTACTTGGGTAGACAGCTGAGTTGTTCCACATTTTGCTGTTAAGGCCCATGTTGAGGAGAATATTTTGAATATATTATTTTTTCACACTGAGTTAAATTTCTGAAGTATCAGTACTGGAATCAACAGTAATGATACTTAAAATCTTGAGAGGCTCACAAATTGTTTCCAGAAAATTTCAACATTTATATGTCTACTAGTGATTAAAAAAAAATAGAGTACAAATTCGAATTGAAGCAGAAAAAGTTATAAGGGGTATAGAATTTCACTTAAGAAAGTAATACAAATTTCACAGTATTTATTGTAATACATAATGTTATCTTCTAAGCAGTTGTTCATACTAGCAGATATATGCATGTAAAATTGGAAAAAGAAATTATAAGAAGTTAAGAGAAAAGGTACAATTGAAAAAAGGAGATAAAACAAATTAAATATTATGAATTTTTTTTTTGCTCCGAATGCCTTCAGGGCATGTTTGGCTGGCTTGAGTTCTGGGGGTCAAACCACAGCAACCTGAGCCTGACTGCTTTTTTTTTTTTTTTTTTGCGGAACTGGGGATTGAACTCAGGCCCTTGTGCTTGCCAGCAAGCACTTATTCTACTGAACTATCTCCCCGGCCCTCCTGACTGCTTTGTTGAAGCAGCCACTTAACTGAGCTAAGGGGCAGGCCCCCCCAAATTAAATATTATGTGCTCTTTTCCATAGACCAGCAGCAGTGCACAGGACAGTTGTCCAAATCATCCTGCTTACATACATAGATATATCGCTTTCCTCCACTATCTCTCCTATCCTTCCCAACTCAGTAACTCTTTCCTTTTGAATAAGTTCATTCCCTTTTTCCAGAATCTATTGTACCCTTCAGATTCCATTTTTCTCTTTCAGGTTCTCACACTAAGTAGACAATATGATGTTTGCACATATAGGTCTGGTTTATTTCACTTAAGAGTATATTCTCTAGTTTCATCCATTTACTGACAAAAGACTCAGGTTTATCCTATTTTGTAGCTGAATAATACTCCATTGTATAAAAATACCACATCTCTTTATCCGTTCTTCAGTTAAAGGGCATCTGGGTTGTTTCCAGGACTTAGCTATGACAAATTGCACTGCTATAAACATGGGTGTACACATGTTGCTGTGGTATGATGATGTTTTTTTTTTAGTTCTGGAAAAATAACCTGGGGGGGGCGTGGTAGTTGTCTTGAATGGGATCTCAAATCCTAGCTTTTTAAAGAATCTCCACACTGATTTCCATAGTGGTTGTACCAGTCTATACTCCCACCAACAGTGGAGAAAGGTTCCTTAAATACCATTAAGGTACACTAATGGTATTTTAATTGGGATTGCATTGAATCTGGACAACAGTTTGAGGAGTATGTCTCTTTACACAATGTTGGTTCTTCCTATCCAGGAACATGGACTATTTTTCCATTTTCTCAAATCCGCTTCAATCACTTTTCTCAAAATACCATAGTTTTTACTGTATAAGTCTTTTATTATGTCATTTTTGAGATTGATTCTTAAGCATTTCAATTTTTTTGATGTTATTGTGAAAGGCGTAGTTTCCCTAATTTCTTAGTGTGTTCATTATGTACGAAAATGCTACTAATTTTTGGGTGTTGACTTTATATCCTGCTATGTTGCTGAATTTGGTGATTAAATCTACAAGACTCTTGGAGTTTTTGGGGTCCTCTATGTAGAGTATCATGTGCTCTGCAGATAATGGTAATTTCTTTTTTTTTTTTTTA